GCGTATTTGTTAACTTAAACACTGATGCACATACAACACACCTAACCTTCTACGCCAAACTTTTTCTCCCAGCGTCATTCACATTGTCATGCATCCATATGAAGTTTACAATCAATTTAAATAGAATTATATATATATATATATATATATATATATTCGTATAAGTCAGCTGGTTTAGCTGAGGGCTTCTGGTCAAGCGTCCATGCTATTCAACACGCTGTCGTGTCACGCTCGTTCGTTTGTGCACGATCTCTAGCTAGTTAAGCAATCATCTCGCATTCCGATTTGGTACCAAAATAAAAATCGTAATTTGGACGGTCGATTCTGGTGTTTTGCTTTGCCTTTGATCTACGCGGAACGAATACTAAAGAAGTTGTGGATATTAGATCTTGCGTTAGTATACTTCGTACTATCCGTGAACGTCAATACCTTCAGCCTCTAACTATACTATATTATTATATTATTTATTGTTTCCTTTAATTTCTAGAGGAACATAGGGCTTCAACCACACGTCTCCATTGCGTTCGGTTATCTGCTAACGTTTTCATTTGGTTCCACGTCTGCCCACATGCTTTCATCTCCTCCTCCATACCACCCTCGAACTGACGACCAACTCGCCGCTTCCCATTCACCCTCTACTAGAGTGATGGCTTGGCGTGTGATGTCATTTGATGATTTGTTTCCTCAGAGTATGGCCAATCCACCTCCATTTCTTCCTGCATATTTGTTGCACAGTTGGTTCCTTCTGGGTTGGTTCGCTCATTGCCAGAGATCCCTCACTATTTCTGATCTTTTCTGACCGGCCATCTGATCTTGAGTAGTATTGAGCGAAGACAGCTGTTGATGAAAGTCTGTAGTTTGTTCGAAGTGCAGTATTCGTGACGCGCCAAGTCTCTGATCCGTGTAGTGAGTAGCACTGACTTCACATTTGAGTTGAAAATCCGGATCTTATTTTTCATTCTGAATAGTGCTGTTGATCTCCACACAGACTTGAGAGTAATGAAAACTTGTCTTGCTTTCCCGATGATCCTCGCTCTGGTGATATCCTCATCAGTTCCGTTCGCCTGTAGTTGAAACTATGCTTCCCAGGTAGGTAGGTAGGTGATAAAGGATGTAGCTTCTTTCAGATTCCTCGCATATATGGTGGTTGATTGTTGTCTGCTGTAGTTGCAGTTGCTGTTGACCAGGATTCTTCATCCCCTCTGTCTTCTCTATGTTCACCTGAAGTCCCTCTTATCTTTGATGCTTCTTCTTCCAACTTGTTGCTTTTCGATTTGCATATCTTCCATTTTGTGAGAAATCAGACATATATCATCCTTGGTATTCATAATGATTTATTTTGTAATACTGTTGTTCAATTTAGAGTTAGAATTATACATATTACTACATACATGTATTTGGGGCTATATAATCTGTTAACAACAATCTATTTACAAATAACTTTTGAAATTCTGATGTCAATGATTCGATGTTAAATTTAGAAAACACACTAGTGTTGTCAATAATAATCCCTCCTTCATTATAGTGGATATATCTATATAACAGTAGAACCTGATGAAGAAGATGTTATAGAAAAAATTGTTCCTCGGTCTTTTGAAATGATAACTAGAAGACTACATTACAGAAAACAGAAACAATCAGAGCTATAACAAATGCATGGAAGGAAGCACAAGGAGACACATGAAAGCTTTGCAGAGAGATAAGAAATCTCAACAACATGTCTAACTAAAATATGAGATTTGATGGAAAATGAAGAGGAAGAGAGAGAGAGAAAGAGATGTCAAACTGGGTTCGAGCCTCAGTGGGAACACCATCATTCACTTGAGGAATGCACGTACATTCAGTTGACGAGTCTCAAATAGGATGAAATGCACATTATCCTGGATTCCACTGCTAGTCACCATCCACCAATGGACGTTAAGAAAAATAGTAGCCTACAGACAATATGGGATTTTTTTCCCCTCACTCCACTGTCTACAAATTACTACCCAAGAGTGTGCAGATTTTTGAGGGAGAAAAAACGTATTTCATTTTTAGCAGCTAAAAAACCTGTAATAACATATGGTTCGTCAACAAAAAAATCACTTTCACATGTGTTCACAGTCTTTTTTGTCTTTGATTCACCTAATAAATATGGACATTTTTTGGTGGTGTTTTGCTTTGAAAGATAATCTAGCCAAACGAATTAAAAACAACAGTCTTTTCCGTTGAAGCCACACACACACACACACTTGGAGCCCAATTATTTTCGAATTATTCCGTCAAATCTTGATCACAGTTCATATGTGAATACACACTTACTTGTATCACCAACAAATTGATTAGTAGGTTGCCGTAGCTATTTTAACGATGTGTTTAGGATCATGATTGGATGAAATCTCAGTTCAATCTATGAGAGAATCACGAGTTTAGAATGACAAGAACTATTGTGTAGATGTTCCATCCCAAATACACGATGCCTTCATAGCGATATTTAAATTAAATCATTGTGTTGTTGTATATGTGTCGATAGTTAAGCGGTAGAATGTTCGCCAACTACACCTCACGCGGTCCGGGGTTCGACTCCCAGTCAACACACTCTTAGACCTCGCTAAGATAGTAGTGAGACCGACAAAGAGGGAAGGTTAGGCGTGAGGCTAGCAACTCCACCTCGTAAAAATAAACACCAATGCTAACGAAAATTCAAAGCTCAAGAAGCTTGAAGTCGTATGTTCCACACTGGGAACGTAATGGAATAACATAAGATAATAATAACAACAAAATAATACAATGGTTGTATTTTAAAGACAAGACACATACATGTGTGCTTAACACCTATTTTTGATGTGATTATCTTCTCTTAACCGAGTGGTTTAATTGCGAAGCTTTTATTGTGGATCTAGACAAAATCTTCAGCACTTACGTGAATATGAAGTGGGTTTTTCAAACCTTCTGTGAATGACATAACTATTCCTTTAATTGAATTTTAGGTTTTCCCGTCGATTGATTGAACTGCAGTGCTCGGTCTCAGGTTGCACTGGGTTCGAGCCTCAGTGGTGGGAACATCATCACTCACTGGGGAATGCAGGTACATCCAGTTGACGAGTCCCAAATAGGACGAAATGCGCATCCTGGATTCCATTGCTAGTCACCATCCACCAGTTAAATTCTAACTATTCCTTTCTGATAATCTTGGATGTGGGTGTTCGGAAATTTTTATTGGTGTATCGGTCGCTTTATTGATATGGGATCACTCATCGCTTGACAAATTTGTCAATATATATCTTTTGAGAGGAGATTGATCAGAGTACCAGGCTTCTGAGAGTTCCCTGACATCTTTTTGATATTTCCCCCCACCCCCCGTCTAACATTTTTCCAGCCAAACTCATGTTTATAGTTGTCATGTCCATCTGAGCTACAACGCAAACTTAACTTCATTCAGATTAAGCCAACTAACCTTGTGTCGGTGGCATAGCGGTTAGGACGCTCGCCGACCATGGACATGGTCCGGGGTTCGATCCCCGGCCGGCGCACTCCTTTACCTCGCTAAGCCAGAAATAATGCTGGTGAAGACGAAAGGTTGGGCATGAGGATAGCAACCCCATCCTGTAAAAATAAACACTGCTACAGAAACTTCAAGCCACTAGCTTGAAGCCCTATGTTCCACTGGGGAACGTGAAGGAAAAAAACCAACTAACCATTAGAAAAATGATAACGAAACTACTATTAACTACTATTGATATTTTACAGTGAGCCACAACAACACAATAACCTGGCTAGCATTACACTGTTTTATGTTTACATTCGAATTACATAAGCAGAATCCCACATTGGTAATAGATGAGGCTATATGTATGAGACAGGTGCACTACACTCAGACCAATGATTTTAGGATGATAAAAGCATAGAGGGTAGGTAATAAATGAATTATTATTATTTTCTGTTATCCCTTTACTTTCCCAGTGGAACATCGGGCTTCGAGTTTGAGCGTTGAAGTTTTGATAGCAGTGGTGCTAATTTTTACAGGGTGTAGTTGCTAGCCTCGAGCCCAAACTTCCCTCTTTACCATCTTTACTACAGATTAAGGGAGGTAAAGGCGTGAGCAAAGACAGGGTTCCAGGTGAACATAGACAAGACGGAGGTTATGAAAATAACCAACCAACCAACAACAACATCAACAGCAGCAGCAACATCCAGCGCTAATCACCATCAACGAGAGGGATTTGAAAGAGGTTACTTCATTCACTTCACTTATCTAGGGAGTATTGTCTCAACTACATGAGGAACGGACGAAGATGTCAAATCGAGAATCGTGAAATCGACAAACACATTCATCAACCTGAAACCAATCTGGAAATCTTCGTCACTCAGCATCAACAATAAAATTCGGATTTTCAATACAAACGTCAAGTCAGTCAGTTCTTCTATACGGATCAGAAACTTGGCCAGTGTGTCACAAAGAATATTTCCAACAGCCTGTTGCAGACCTATATCAACAACTGTCTTCGCTGGCTCTATACTGAAGATCAGATGGTCGGAAATAATCACCAACAAGAAACTATGGGAACAAACAAAACAAGAATCAACCGCCCAACAAATATGCAGAAGAAAGTGGAGATTGGATTGGACACTCGCTGAGGAGGCCGTTGGGTGATATCGCGCGTCAGACCAGTGCTTGAGTGGAACCCGAAAGGGAAGCGGCGAGTGGGACGTCCAAGGGTGACATGGAGGAGATCGTGTGAAGAGGAACTGAAACAGTATGGAATAACATGGATGCAAGTGAAAAGTACAGCAGAAGACAGAAGCAAATGGAGACGTGCAGTTGAAGCCCTATGTTCCACTAGGAACCCAAGGGAACAATAATAATAATAAAGGCGTGCGCCGGTCGGGGATCGAACGTGGTTGGCCGGTGTCCGTCCTACCAGTGAACCACCGGCACACGAAAAATGAATACTGTTAATTTATCACACAGACACACGCACACAAATGTAAGACAACAAGTACCAACAACATTGACTTACTCAGCTCTATCTTCCAACCATAACAATGGTCTAGCACCTGCACGTAAACCATGAGCGTAGATAGAAGCAATTTTCCGGTAATTTTTACCCTTCTCCAATAATTCACACCATTTTACATACAGTGTTGAACACATTGTACCAACACCTTGTCTGAATAATAATTCACATAATTCTGTTGGTTGATCACAGTATTCCGTCTATATAATAAACATGAATGCCAAATGAAATATTACATAATAGAATAGAATGAGTACAGGACAGTAACTAGTCTGCAGTTCAGTAGACAGTCTAAATCTTTGATGTGAATACTAAACAATCTGTAGAAACAATAATAAGGAGAATAAATATTTCCATTTTTTTTATTATATTCAAGGTGAATGCACTACAAACCTTAATTAACAACACACCTAGACACAACACAGTCTATAAATTGACTTAGTAGAAAAAAAATAATCAAGAATTCAAAGCAACAGAAATATTATAGTTCAGATTGTTTCCACTCGTAAATAGTACAATAATATATGAAAGTTGTTAGTGAAGATATTATAGCAGTCAGTTTAGCATAAGGCTAAGGCAGGAAAAAGAGTACAAGTTTCAGGAGACGCAAAGTGTTCGGTATAGAACCATATCGCCTACATATATGTACATATATCACATTCACTTTTCATAATGTTACTTTAGTAATCAATCAGTCTCAGTATATAGAATCAAATCTACAGTACCTGCCATCCAGTTAGTTCACTTTTAACGTGTACTCCTGAAAAAAGAAGGTCGATAGTGGACCAGAGTGACTAATAGAGACATGATTCATCGATAACTATTATTCGACAACTTTTCAGAAGAAAGACGTTAAATCTAAAATTCTCTTATGATATCAACAGTTTATTTTATTGGTTACAGGATTTCATCATGAGCTGCTGACATCGGTTAGAGAACTTTTGGAACCTCCTCCAGGAGTACTGAACAGCTGTTTCGTCCTATACTTTGGGACTCAACGGCAGTGTACTCAGCCACCAGAGGATGTTCGAACCCACGACCTTCCGGTTACAGGGTAAGCTCGTAGACCATTCAGCCATTGGAACCGGTCTCGAAATTTTAGTGCGACCGACACCAGCCAATATCACTGGAGAGTATTTGTCCTCAGTCACGACCGGAGGTCAATCTTGTTTCTGGTAGAAGTCAATTTTTTCTAGGCACTTTGAATGTCAATTTCAGTATTAATAGTTTGAAAAACATAATACTGAGCTACAATTGAGCTATCCAGGTTTGCTATTGGTCTCTCGAAGGACTGCAATCGATATTCGTATTTGATATTAGGTGGTAACTGATGTCATGAGTAGAGTGCTTTCATTTGGTTTAGACTAGATTCTATCGGTCAAGTTCTAGAATTTTACCAACCAGGCTAGGTGGCTTACTATCACGCTACGCTTCAAATTGTTGTTAGGAAAAAACACCAAACCTAGGTCCAAAGTTATCTATCCATTACCTTCAATCATTTAACAACAATTCAGAGTGTAGTGTGATGGAGAACCACCTGGCATGATGGCCACACTGCAAACTTGCCTACCGGGATTTATTTTGCCTCAAACAAAGCAACAGTCGCATGATATCAGTCACTGCCTAGTGCCTAATCGAGAGTTTAATTAAATCAAATTAACAGCTACAAATACATTGAATATGTATAAGCTGGATATACTTAGCAGTCATGGAGAGGAATTAGGTATAGATAGATGGGATAAAATGATTCAATTCTGAAATTATTTTGATAACCATTATCTAACACGTAGATGTATGCAATTATTATTACTATTCCATTGGGTTCCGAGTGGAACACACGGCTTCAACAACACATCTGCACTTTGTTCTATTCTCGGCTGTCCTCTTCATCTGGGCCCACGATTGGCTATAATCGCTCATCTCTCAGTTTACACCGTATCTGGCGTAGAGGTGATATCCAACTGTCGACCAAAAAGCGTGTATACTCCTCATCAGTCCGCTACGTCCTCCACTATGGCTGTGAGACGTGGCCATTGAGAGTGAAAAACATGAAAAGACTAGCTGTCTTCGATCATAGGTGCTTGTGTTCTCTCTTCCGTGTGAAGTGGTATCATAGGGTGAACAATAATGAGGTAAGGCGTGAGTCGAGTGCTAGGTAGGCGGGAGGGGAAATCAGTCAACGAGACTGTGAAGTTACATCGACTGAGATGGTTAAGACATGTGTTACGCATGCATGTCTAGCCATTGCCTTCCTCGGCAGCGGGTAATGTCGGCTGATATAGGGTCAGGATGGAAAAGAGCTAGCGGCGGTCAAACCAAAACATGGCTTCATCAGTCAATGAAATCCACAACAGTTAGTTGAAGCCAGACACGTAGGAAGGTTTAGATTTCCTGACTGGTTGGGGTCCTCGGGACGGTAAAAACGAATGAAGGCAGGAGACAATTGTTGATATGGCTCAAAATCGTTCTCAATGAATAGCGCAGATGCATCCACTCCTTGTGACTCATAATGCCCAATGAAACTACATTTGTTTTTTGTTATTACTATTCTTTTGGTCTTATAACACTGTCTACTGTCTCTATTTTGCATTTCTTCTATTTTCTTCTCTTGCTTTGTGTGCTACATGGAGGGAATGTGGTGACTTGAACTGCTGCACATCGGTGCAAAGTTCTGTGTCGAAAACAGACAGACAGATATGAGATTGAGGTGAAATTTATTTTTACACGCGATAAACACTGAATGATATATAAGAATACATAAGAGAACAATATTGTTTTCACCTAAATCTCATCAGCCTTAACTCAAATGTGCCTGCATGTTCGTATATATTTAAACCGCGCGTCGGTGGCACAGCGGTAGAGTGCTCGCCAACCACTGATGTGGTCCGGGGTTCGGTCCCTGGCCGACGCACTCCTTTACCTCACTAAGCCAGTAATAAGGCTGGTAAACAGGAAAGGTTGGGCATGAGGCTAGCAACCCCATCCTGTAAAAATGAACACTGCTACGGAAACTTCAAGTTGGAGGCTTGAAGCCCTATGTTCCACTGGGAACGTAAAAGGAATATATATATATATATATACATATATTTAAACCAATCATGGTGATTTCCCAATAGGATGATAAGATTGTGCAATTAGTCACAATGATGCTACAACTAATAATAATGGTTTTATCGACAACAAAGGTGACAACGTGGCGTGATCTGTGATAACAAGAATAATGAGAAACACCACGATTCAACAAACAAATGTTCAGGTAGACGTGGTAGTCAGTAAAGGCTAAGAAAAACAAACAGACCGACTAAGTAATGTTAGATTGTAAGCGAAGTAAATCAACTATCTTTTAATGAAGATGTGCTAAGATTAAGAGGGATTTAAAATACAACTAAGGGATGGTGGTGACGTCACCACCCTTCTTTTTCTCCTTCCTTTATGTTCTCAGTGGAACATAGGGCTTCAAGCTAGTGGTTCAAAGTCTCTCTCGTAGTGATGTTTATTTTCACGGAATGGGGTTTCTAGCCTCACGGTCAACCTTCCCTCTTTACCAGTTCTATTACTGGCTTAGCGAGGTAGGAAAGTGCGTCTGTGGCCGAGGATCGAGCCCCGGACCACATGATCTGTGGTTGGCGAGCATTCTACTGCTGTGCAACCAACGCACTCGACGTCACCACCTGGTCAAGTCTTAATAGAGTTAAGGGAAGGGTAATGGCTGTGCAAACTTCTTAATAGGCTTAAATGTGTTGTTCTGAAATTTTACAATGGGAATATTTAATATTTAGAAATGATTAATATTCAATCTAACATAAATGGTGACAGAATTAATGTGCATACAGAGTTATTTTGTACGGATTTGATTTATTCTAAGCGTGATCACAGAACTGACATCAGTTAGAGAACCACTCAACACTAGGGCGTATTGAGGAGTTGTTTTGTCCCAGTCCACGACTCCTCAGTAGTACGCAAGTATGACCCTATCGGGGATTGAACCCAGAACTATCGAATTAAACTGCGCGGAGCTCTTTGACGGTTTGTTATTCAGTTATTAGGACGGAATCCAATGGCGCATCAACTTTAGCTTTAGTCTACTTCTGTGTAAAAAAAGAAATTGATAATATAATCTTTAAAAAGTGATTTCTTTCTCCTTTAGAAGAGAACAAAAACAAACTATCTATGATGTAAGCAGCCTAGAAATACACGACCGATGCACTAAGGTATAAAGAAGAAGAAACAAAGTTCACTTTTAACGGTTTGAAAAAATTTGGGCATTGGGTATATGATATTCATTATAATAAAGGTTTTTTGTATTTCCCAATGAATGAAAAACAAAACGATATTGTTTTTACTGACGTTTCGCTATTTAATGCTAATAGCTTTATCAAAGTATTATTAAACCGGAATTTACAAAATCTCAGCATATATATAACAAACAGTTAGGGTGTGAGAAAATAGACATAGGTCAAGTTAAAGGGACATATTGAAAGTAAAAATAGCAATGAAGATAACTATACCAAATAACAAAGGTAATAGTATGTCTGTTATGATATCGAAATAAAGTTTACTAACTTGATCATCGTTCGTCTGTTTGGGGGCATTTTTAGTTGTCAAGTTGGTGAATTGGTAAAGATAACAAAACCATCATGTGTAGATTGTTAGATTTGATAAGTGTATAAGATTATAAAGGCAGTGTGTGTTTACATAGTGAAAGTGCTTATCACAGTCGTGTTGGTTTTCTCACTTGATGGGGGGAGGGAGGTGTTGTAACCAGGTCAGATTCTGTTTTAGTCCATCATTCCTATTCAGGCAATTTTTGGTTTAGTTATCTTCATTGCTATTTTTACTTTCAATATGTCCCTTTAACTTGACCTATGTCTATTTTCTCACACCCTAACTGTTTGTTATATATATGCTGAGATTTTGTAAATTCCGGTTTAATAATACTTTGATAAAGCTATTAGCATTAAATAGCGAAACGTCAGTAAAAACAATATCGTTTTGTTTTTCATTCATTGGGAAATACAAAAAAACCTTTATTATAATGAAGAAGAAACAAAGCACATATGCTAACTACACTTATCACCATATTTTCACAGGTGCGAAAATGAATGCAATATGTCAAAAGGAATGTTTTGCTGATTAAGCTGTCCAATCTCTCTCTCTCTTCTTCATGAATTCTAAATTACATAACAGAAAAGTAGGATAAGTATACACACCCACACAGAGAGAGAATAAGGACTAATGATTATAACAATGAAGGTAATATAATAAATGCAACTAATAATATCAAGTCAGATTACATTCATTTAGACAATCCTAAAATATTGATAGTATGAAGACAAAATTAAAGGAGAGAGAAATGCGCAAAAACAACAATCAAGAAGAAATTTATTAGTTTACCATATCACCGCCCCCCACCCACTCTTGGAACACACAGACAAATACACTTAAATTACGTACGAATTAAATTATCATTACAGGATTTCATCATGAGCTGACATCGGTTACAGGACCATTGAAAAACCAGTACAGGAGTACTGGACAGCTTAAAGGTCTACGAGTTCGCCTTGTAACCGAAAGGTTCCGGATTCGAGCCCTAGTGGTGGGTGTGTACTCTGCTGTGGAAGAGTCGCAGACGAAGACGAAACAGCTAGTAGTTTTCCTATAATTCTCTAATCGATGTCAGCTCATGATGAAAATCCTGTAACCAATCAGATCAAACGTTTACTGCAGACCAACACTTAAATTATCATTGTCGTCTGTGATAAACTGTGAAAACCATACGACAATGTAAAACACTTTTATCTACAAGTAGGGGGGCTGGGGAAGAGAACAGACAAAAATGAAACGAGAAAACAGACACAAATTCATATTTTGTCTTTGTGTTTCTAGACGTGTTTATTTTTTTTAATTATTTCAGTGTTGTAAGATGGATTTAGACGGATTGCAAACTATTATCAACAGCTGCCAACTTTGCTGGCTCCATATTGAAGATCAAAACGCTGGCTGGTCAGAAATAATTAACAACAAGAAACTCTGTAGTGGAAAAAACCAACCAAGAGTCTTATTGCTCAACAAATATGTAGGAGAAATTAGAGATGGATCGGACATATGCTGAGCAGGCTGTCGAATGACATCGCGTGCAAGGCTATCGATTGGATTCCGGATGGGAAACAACGAATGGTTCATCCAAGGGTGACAATGAGATCGTGAGAGAAGATGAGCGATTATGGGCAATCGTGGACCCAGCTGAAGAGGACAGCAGAGAATAGAAGAAAGTGGAGATTCGTTGTTGAATCGCTATGTTTCACTCGGAACCCAATGGAATAATAAAAATAATCACCGGCTGGCCAGAAAGGAGCATTAGCAACAAGAAACTACGGGGACAAACTAACTAAGAACCTACTGTAGGTGGAAATGGAGATGGATCGGGCATTCGCTGAGGAGACCATCGAGTACCATCGCGCTTAATGCATGGCTTGTTTTTTTTTCGTTGTACTTAATACTTTGTAGAATAAATACCAATGACAAGACTCATAGAGGAAATAAGTAAAATAAGTTATAGTTGCAAATAAATCACAGAGTCAGACAAAATAATGCAGATGCAAGTGGTTGCATTTCTCTATCATCAACATAGGTGTCGAAATTAAATGCTTACCTCCAAAGATGCTTACTACACATTTAATGTTATAGTCTCTCAGACACTATTACTTATTATTTCGACAGAGAAAGAAAGACCAGATTTGCAGGATAAAATGTGATATCATCATTCTACTTCACAGGTTCTCATCAGTTGTTGCAAACAACTACCTGAAATTACAATGGTTATAAATAATAACATTTTATACTTCATTGTTTGAAAGGTAATAGAGAAAACATTATAAGATGAACGCATCCGGAATATAAGTATTACCAATTTTTAGTTTAAGTCACCATCAATTCATATGCCTTCAAACCTGCTCCAGCAAGTACATTGGAAAGACAGAAAGAAGGGCTTCTATCCGGTTTTCAGAGCATACTTCAAGAAACTTATGCTTAAAAGGAAGCAGATATTTACAAAGTGCAATTACCAGACACCCACCCTGTGGATACGGGTCATTTCGTCGACATTTCCAAATCCTTCAAAATATTAAACATACAAAGGATAAGGAATTTACTACGACTTACTGCTGAAACAATTGCAATCAAACGTTTCAGACCAAACTTATGCACACAGAGAGAGTGTAGTGAATCTTTCACTCCCTTGGTAAGCGTATTACTTTCATTACACTGATTAGTCATACACACTAATGAGCTGAACTCACTAAGCAAGTTTTCAATTCGATGTACTTTAACCCTCTTGAGTCGCTACGTTGACGTACAAGATAACACTGTTTATTAGATTCTTCTGTTTACTGTCTTCTCTCACCCCCTCCTTTTTTTCATAAATTGATAGCATATAAATTTAGGGTAACTTAAACTAAAAATTGGTAATGCTTATATTCCGGATGCGTTCATCTTAGAATGGTTTCTTTATTACCTTTCAAATATTGAAGTATGAAATGTTAGTATTTATAACCATTGTAATCTCAGACAGTCTGTAGCAGCTGATGAGAACCTGTGGAATACAGTGATAAGATCATTAATTCATACTGCAAATCTGGTCTTCACTTCTCTGTCGAAATTTATCAAGAGAACCAAATGTATTTTATTTATTATTTCATTCCTTTATGTTCCGCATGGAACATAGGGCTCCAAAAGCTAGAGAGCTTTGAAGTTTCGTTAACAGTGATTTAATTTTTACAGGAGTGGGGGCTGTCAACCTCATGCCTAACGTTTCCGCCTCACCGGTGTTTAGGAATAACCTCGTCGATCGAGGGATCTAATTCCAGACCACATGAGGCGTGGTTGGTTAGCGTAAATAACTTTTCTGAATAATTTTGAAATCAGGTAATATAACTATTTAAATGCCTAAAAAATACACATATAATATAACCGGTTATCTTCTAGTTCTTGAATACGTACAGAAATATAAAGACAGAGAGAGGGGGAGAGAGGAAGAGGGAAGATTACAAATAACATAATGAAAGTCGGTCGGTCGGTTTTCGACATAGAACTTTGCACTGATGTGCGGCAGTTCAAGTCTCCACACTCCCTCCTTGTAGCAGACAAAGCAAGCGAAGAAAGTAGAAGAAATGCATATTAGAGACAGTAAACAGAGGTGTGAGACAAAGGAATAGAAATAACGGAGAACAAAACAGTTCTATTGGAAATCATAAGTCACAAGGAGTGGATGCATCTGCGCCACTGAGAACGATTTTGAGCCATGTCAACAATTGTTTCCAACCATTGGTTTTTACCGTCGCGAGGACCCCAACCAGGAAGCCTACACCTTCCTATATGGTTTAGACTAACTGTTGTAGATTTCATTGACTGGTGCCATGTTTTCGTTTGACCGCTGCTAGCTCTTTTCCAGTCTGGCCCTATATCAGCTAACATTGCCCGTCGAGGAAGGCGATGACTAGACATATGTAAAACATGTCTTAACCATCTCAGTCAATGTAACTTCACAGTCTCGTCGATTGATTTCCCAGCCTTACCTAGCACTCGACGCCTAACCTCAATATCACTCACCTTATTATACCACTTCACACGGGAGATAGAACGCAGACACCTATGATCGAAGACAGCTAATCTTTTCATGTCTTCCACTATCAATGGCCAGGTCTCACAGCCATAAAGGAGGACGGAGCGGACTGATGAGCAGTACACACGCCCTTTGGTCGATAGTCGGATATCACGTCTACGCCAGAGACGGCGTAAACTGGCATATGCGAACCTAGCCCTCTGTATTCGTGCTGAGATTTCGTCAGAGACCAACCCGTTTGGCACTGGCTGATGGTACTTCCCAAGTAAGTGAAGCGGTCAACGTGCTCTACCACTTCACTTCCTATTTCTAATCTAGGGGTCGGTGAAGTCCAATCTTGCAGCATCATCTTACATTTTACAGGGGCGAATCGCATGCCAAACATACGAAGATTGTTGCTCAAGGTGTTCAGTAGACTCTGCATTTTGTCAGCGTCCTCGCCTAGAAGGACTATATCGTTCGCATATTCTAAGTCGACGAGATTATTCCTTGGTAGCAAGTCAATCCCTGAGTCGCTGAAGTGTGTTAGGGTTAAATCCATTAGTACGTCTATGATGAAGTAGTGAATATGATACAATGGCATGGTCAACTTACTAATTTCATCCAACAGTTAACATAGTCATTATTATTCTTGATATCAGATAGTCCTGAGGAGTCGCGTATACACCGATAAAGAACATTTTGTAAATCAGCACATCTGCCTAGGGTGGGATAATTTTGCTCTATCCATTTGATATATCTATAACGAAAGGAAAAATAAGAAAATATGAAAAAAAATATGCAAGTAAACATTTTCACTAACTAAAGAGTAAAAGGATTTTCTTTCAAAAGTACAAATTAGTCACAATGTGGTAAGGAATGTGACTATGAAGTTACCAGGGTTATGATGTCATAGAACTCATGGTCTGGTGCCTTGTAATATGGTGATCACATTGCAAATTTGACTGATGGAATTCAGTCAGCACTAAAGAGAGCACCAGACCGCATTACACTAGTTATTGACTAGTGTCCAATCAAAGTATCCAACAGAGTCAGTCCTACAGGAGATTAATCGCGAGTCGGAATAGCTCCTCAATGGTAACGTCTCTGACTACAGAACTGGTTGACACAAGCTCGAATCTCAGAAAAGATATGAGTTCCTTCAAGGTTGCAGATACGCCTTGCTGACTGACTGGTGAGTGCAAACAAGCACAAAACCTAGATGAAGCAAGGTTTTCTGTGATCGATTGCCTCCAACAATCTGATATCGACAATTTACAGTGTAGTGCATCGTGATGGCGAGCCCCCCCCCCCCGCAGTGGCATGGTAGCCATATTACGAACTTGATTGATAGAATTCAGTTTGTACCAAACAAAGGACCAGACACATTACACTAGTTACTAGCTAGTGTCCAATCAAAGTATCTCTATTATATAGACAAAGCCGTGAGATGGCTCTGTGCATAATGAGGTAATTTTTGATATATATGATGATGATTGAAGGCAGCTGATAGGATTTCTTGTGCTTATTGGCACTCGTTAGCAATACATGTGTGTCACCATGTAAAACTGACGTGAAAGACGCACCAATCGGCACTACATGCAATGCATAATATGAAAAATAAGCAACACACAGAATTGTACATTCTCGATTGTTACACTTTCATCACAAATCAACATCAGTTAGAGAGATCACATTAAAAGTCGAGAAGCAATGGACAGAGCTGTTTCGTCCTACTTTAGCTATCTTTATCAGTAAGCATCAACCACCCCCCCCCACGAGGGATCAAACTGGTCGATTACTTAGCCAACTGGGCTGGGATTCAATGATCTATGAATTCTAAATTTGTCAACTCATAATATAGCGATGTCGTTGTCACCAGTGTGCTTTCGATGAGCAACTACTTCATCTTGACATATTGGATCTTAATGCAGATTCAGGAAATCCATCCTGTAGCCATCAATGAGAGATTGATATTGAGATTATGGGATAATTGGTTCGTTAAAAAAGTCTAACAATTAGAAAAACTAATCAAAAGTCCTCAGAATGATAAATGTAAAAACTTTATATTGTATAAATCTTAGGGAAATTGAAATAAACAACTCTGAAGTTTTGTTAGCCAAACTGGTCTGAACTTCTTCAGGGGAAATAATTAAAATTTTTAAAAAAGAATATCGAAGGTATATACAAAAGGGAGGGAGGGACATCTTGTATATAAAATTTGTTGGAGGATTTCATCATGAGCTGACATCAGTTAGAGAACCATTGGAAAACGAGCACCGGAATACTGGATAGCTGTTTCCTCCTGGTGCTTGGGTCTCTTCATCAGTACGCACCCACCACCAGCAGGGTTGGAACCCAGGTTCATGCGGTTAAAAGGCGAACTCGTAGACCATTGAGCCACTGGGACCCGATCCAATGGCTAGCCCATGGATTCTAACTTCTGCCAATTCACGACATGTCGGATCATATTGGCTTAATGGTCCACGAGCTCGCCTTGTAACCATAAGGTCCTGGGTTCGAACCCTGCTGGTGGTGAGTGTGTACTGATGAAGAGTTCCAAGCACCAGGAGGAAACAGCTGGCTGTCCAGTACTCTCTGATGGTTTTTCAATGGTTCTCTAACTGATGTCAGCTCATGATGAAATCCTCCAACCAATCAAACAAAATGCCCGCAAAACCAATATACCTGTAAATTTGTGTCCAATCCTGTCTTAGTCATCACAAACAAAATAAACTGAATTGCATGAACTGTGTGGTTAAGAATTGACTGAATTATTTGAGAAACTTATTATTATCATTATTTGTCTATTTTGTTATACACTGTAAATAGTTTCTACTGTGACATCAGTCTTCAGGGACAATGTTCAAATAAACGTCATGGTGACCTCGTGTAAGGAAATCTGTATTAATAAACCTCTATGTATGCAACATACAATAATGTTTGGGTGAACATTTTGGATGTCATTTGAAGGCATATTCAAAATAAAACAAAACGACTTTAATGCTGGTTGTTATTGTGAGTCATCGGTGTATTAATTCATACTTTGAGATTCACCTTCTTACCTACCTACCTATCTATGTATTAAGGGCGTCTGCAGTCAGTCTTTTTTCATGTAAAACACCAAAGCTTTCTGTTAAACTGGACACCTGATATCATATCATCAATCGAGAGCTTAGTCCTACTTTTGAGTTCAGGATCAGAAATCAGTTCATTCCAGAACACTGATCCTGAATTGAAAAGTAGGACTAAACTCTCAGTGGATGAAATAATATTAGGTGTTCAGTTATGTCTAACCTCTAATGGAATGGTAGTGGGATCACCAATATCCACAATAGTGGTAGACATATGTATGGACAGTTGGGAGAAAAAGGCTCTTAGAGCGTTCAATGTTCCTTTACCTAGGTTATGTTGGAGAAATATGTAGATGACACATTCACTATGTTGAAATCTGAACATATCCCCCGATTCCTCACACACATAAACACAATAGTAGACGGAATGTAATTCACTTCTGAGTTAGAAAACTAACAAGGTGACTTGGCCATGCTAGACTGTAAGAATGAAACGAAAACAAGTTGGGGGAAGAAACCGATACACTCTAATAAATAATCAGACTTTGATTGATCCCATCCAGGATCAGTATAGACAGATTTAGTTAAATGTCTCTATATATAATCCGGCCAGAAACCCAACTAGTAAGTCAGAAAATTTAAACAATGAAATCAAACAAAACACAAAGAAAGTGTTAACAGTGAATAACTCACTACCCATCGCCTTCCTCGACGGGGAATGTTAGCTGACATAGGGTCAGGTTGGAAAAGAGCTAGCGGCGTTCAAACAAAACATGGCTTCATCAGTCAATGAAATCTACAACAGTTTAAGCCACGTTGGAAGGTGTAGACTTCCTGACTGGTTGGGGTCCTCGGGACGGTAAAAACCAATGGTTGGAAACAATTGGTGATATGGCTCAAAATCGTTCTCAATGGCTGGTGCAGATGCATCCACTCCTTTTGACTTATGATTTCCAATTAAACTGTTTTGTTCTTCGTTATCACTATTCCTTTGTCTCACACCTCTGTTTACTGTCTCTAATATGCATTTCTCCTACTTTCTTCTCTTGCTTTGTGTGCTACATGTGTGGTGAGAGCTGTCTACTAGCCAAATTGGTAGACAGTAATTTACGTCAATATTTACGTTCCCAAGATTTGTCGTGAGAAAATGTGAACAAAGATTGATTCAAAACCGACCACAGCAGACTTTGCGTAGGCTGATGCAGTTAACATATAGAGGATTTGACATTCAAGAAAGTCACAAATAGATGAAAGATTAACTTTACGTGAGAAACAACCAATCGGAAGACTGTGTTTGTTTGTTTAAATAACCATGGTAATGTACATGCAAATATATAAATATGCGTTGATTTCCTTAATAAATGATCTGTTGCCTGACTCTTGCCTTCTGTCGTTACACATGGATTGGAGTGTGGCGATTTGAACTGCCGCACATATGTGCAAAGTTCTATGTCGAAAATAGACATACAGACTCACTACCCAACAGAATTTATTCAGACATGTATGAAGAACCATAGAAAAACTAAAACTAGCAATAAAAGTGACGAAGATAATATGGAATTCAAAGCCTCTGTAGTACTGCAGTATAAAGAAAGAACTTCAAAGGCCTTACGTAGGATTCGCAAGGATGCTGGAATTACAGTGGCATTTAAACCACCCAACCAACCGACCAACCAAATCTATCAGAGATAAACTTTGTCGGCTAAAGGACCCAATCGATCAAATTAAGAAAAATCACACATAATTTACCAAATACCAATTAATACCATGTAATAACTATAAGTGAGGTCAGTTAAATAGGTCAGTCAAACTAGTAGATCGAGGTAAGTCAACTAGATTATTGGAACATGAAAATTTAGAGAGACCTAGAATAAATGACCCTGCTAAGTTAAATAACCTAGGTAAAGGTCCGCCATTGCACTGCATTCACTTGTATGTAATCATACAACAGGTGGGGTGGGACAAAGTGAGAGTATTAAAAAGTAATACAGTTAGGTGGAGAGAGAGACAGGGACGTTGGATATATAGGACAAACTGTGAAACTTTGTGGCTGAAATTGATATGATTATGAGCAGTAATTTATACTGGAAACCTCATCCAGTTATTCATACTGCATCATCATTGTGTGAAGTGGGAAATAAGCTTGCCTCATATGTAATTACATTCTACCATAGTGACCAAGTTCTACATTTAAATTAATGAAATTCATTAGTGTATAGTGCATAAAGAGTAAAGCATTATTTGATAGACAGCAAAAGGTGTATTTATTATGGAAATTTTAGGAAAGAAAAACGAAGTAAAAATTAATACTCGATGTAGTATATGAAAAAAAAATAATAAAGCAGACTGTCAACAAAACAAAGAGAAGAGATTGTAATACGATTAACATTTACAAACGACTACTATCTACTGTTGATTTTTCCCTGAAATATGCTGACTGACTGACTGGTTTCGACATAGAACTTTGCACCGATGTGTAGCAGTTCAAGTCACCACATTCTATCCACATAGCACACAGAACAAGAGAAGAAAGTAGAAGAAATGCATAATAGAAACAGTAGACAGGGATATGAGACAAAAGGAATAATAATAACAAAGAACAATATAGTTCCATTGGAAATTATAAGTCACAAGGAGTGGATGCATCTGTGCTATTCATTGAGAACGATTTTGAGTTATATCACCG